GCATTTGGTATTTCGTGAGCTCTGAGCATAATTTTCACCCAACTTTTGTCGATATTCTGAAATCGTTTCGCTTCTTGCGGTAGTTGTCTAGCAATATCACCACCAACAAATACAGCTTCTAAGTAAATCCATAAATTCTGTACTTGTATCCATTTTTCTAACACTTCCGAAGTATTCACCAACTTGGTCACCCAAAGTTGGATATCTTTCTTGAATGGTGCGTTATAACGATTGCTTAGTAATGAATTCATCACCATTAAACTGTCTTCTAAAACTGCAATAATTTCAGAGGTTTCTTGACCTTTAAGAAGTAACTCTCCTCTTGATTTGAAGGTAGTGAAAGATAATTCTACAACAGCCCAATCGGCAATCACTTGTTTTAGTTTTGCTTCGATGTCTTTTTCTTTAACAGCACTAATACAAATATCTTCTACATCATCTTTGAATTTCAATAACGGAGCTTCCATTACGTCTCTCAATGAAAAAGTAGGTGATTCTATATCAAAGTCATAGTTGCATACTTTTGCAATACGCAACCAATGACGTTCCTTCATTGCATTATTCGCCATTAGTTCCAATAATGGACAAGTTTCATTAAAGTCGTCAATCTTCTTCTTAAGATCAAGAAATGCAGGCCAGTCTTTCATACCTTTCGGTAACTTACGACATCTGTTTTGGAATTCTGCCAATTCCGCCATTATGACTTCAGTATCAACGTCAACCCATAGTAAATCAGAATATCCATCTATACTTGTGTTTACAGTGATGTATAGACTGTATAATTTGTTTAGGAGGTTGAATTCTTTCTTTCGCTTATGTAAAATTGGATAATCATTGACTTGGAGACCGAATAATCGTTCACCACTGCTGTACATTTCAAAACGTCTCCATAGTTCATCAAATCGTGCTTGGAACATCAAAACACGATCACTCGCCTCTCTTGCTTCTAATCCAGGGACCATCGGGCCGTTTTCTTCAAAGTCCACGTCGAAATCGAGGACATCTTGAAGGAAAGTAGCGACACCTGCTGTGAGTTCGTCTTGGAGGGGACCTTGGACTAGACAAATTTGTTCTTGAACAGCTTTGGACTGAAATAATCTTAATTAGATATTGTTTTTTTTTAAAAGAAAGTTATGAAATTATTTACATTATTGACCATTGTAGTGAAATTATATCGCAAAGTATCAATTCTTTCAATGTCTTCTTTGGGGACATCAATTTTGAAGCGTAGGAATGTTGCATAAGCAGCTTCCATTCTTTCTAATTGCATATCCATGTCGATAAAGTTTTCTCGGATGGTTTCTAAGCAACTCATGGCAAGACGACAATCATCTAGATCTTTAATGGGTTTTGCTAAGATTTTCTCTTGTTGTTTGATGAAGTCAATCATCTCCATTAGTTTTTCTTTGTATTGATGCATAAGGATCTTGCCGAGGACGTGCTTCCAAGCGTTGGACTCAACTAATAATGCTAATTTGTATTTTTCTATAAATTAATATAAAAATTAATGTTTGTGGGGAAATTTTTTTAGTTTAAATTATACCCATGATAATACGTATTGCAAGAATGTCATGATACTCTGGTAGAGCTTGGATATTGGCTGCTCTTTCATCGTAAGCAGTGAAACGTTCAGCGATTTCTACTACAAGTGGATTGCTTGCACAGTATTCAGCTATTTGTTCATCACGGTCTTCTACCCAGAGATAAGAATATTCTAAGTAGCTCTAAAATAAAAATTCAAATAAATGTACTCTTCTTTGATGATGCAAATTTGAACGTCATCTAGGTATGAATTATATAATTAGAACTATGATTTAACTTCTATCTTAAGTTTCATCTCTTATAAAATGAAAATTATATTTTTGGTATAAAAGGTGGTCAATGTTATTTTCCATGGCGAAATTTACTTTTATTCAAAAATTTATCAAATTTGGTTGAGTAGTTTATGCGTGAAAGGGTTACAAATAAACAAACTCAATGAAATTGGCATTTATATCTTTAATTAAATTGAAAACCTCTCCATTTTTATGGTATGCTTACATATTTGATAAAATTTTGAAAAAACTAAGTATGAAAACTGATTGGATCATTAAAATCCATTTAGGATAACTTTTGTGGACAAAATAAAACTTAATTAAGAAAATATGAGATGAAATTGTCTTTAGTAATCCGAAACATGATAGTCTTAGCTTGAAATAATTCACCACTTCTACTTACTTCCAATAATTTCAAAACATCAGGTTTCAACAAATACATAACACCTTGAAGACCCATAAAAATCCTCACGATTTCTTTATGTTCCGACACGGTTTTATAACAATTTATAAACCCAGCAGCCGTGGTGAACTCAGTCTTTTCAGCAATAACCACACCTTTTTTCTTCACCTTCTCACGAGCATACCTTTGTCCCCATTGCACGATATCCTTATGAGTTGCCACAATATTATTCAGCACCATAGCAAAGTGCTGCTGAATCTGATCCAAAGTGGGTATTATCATATTAATAGGTATTTGCAACTCCATGTAAGTCTTCATAATAGGCAGCGTAGTCAACATATCTTCAATATTTGAATTAGCAGCGCGTTTTTTAATCTTTTCCAGTGAAGATTTAGTGCATTTTACTAAAGCATCAGTCATGTTCATGTTAAAATAAGCAAACATTTCCACACAGTCTGAATGGATAGAAAATATATCAATGTGTTGATTACGGTCGATATCACCAAAAAGTGCATCTTCATTAGCCATTATAAGTTTGGATGATGATCCTACAGGTTTAACAACTCTTTCGGGGTCCAACCAGTCGTATTTTCCTTCTTGTAGGTGTGGATCATTGATGGCATCCATGAATTTATCGATTAACTCCACAACTGCTTTCTCTGCAGTGCTGGATTTCTGTTCAATTTCTCTTACTACAATAAAACACTTTAGTTTTGAAAAAATAAAAATAAAATTTTGCATATCCTACCAATTGATTCTCTATGTTCAATGTTTAATTGTAAAAATTCCGCTGGAGTTACAGGTTCAGTTGGTAAATAAACCAAACTAATCTGACTAATACTATCTAGAATCTCATCAATTCTAGCTTCTTTAATATCAGTTACTTCCTTGACAAACACTTCAATATGATCCAAAAACTTAGTAATTTCATCACAAAATTCTGGAATTTTCATCGAAGTCCAAGTAATTGTCGAGAATCCCGGCATGAAAATATTCTCCATTTTTATTAGTGTCAATTTCATTAAAGGTATAAAAAGTTGCGGAATATTTTCTTTGATAGAATCATGTCGTTTGATTAAATTTTTAATCAACTCGTAAGATTCTAAAATTTTATCTTTGCAGAAAACTAATATTTGCCCTGCATCTGGTACTTCCAATTCTAATTTATACATGTATTCAGATTCCCTGATGGCTTCAATTATATATTCATCAAAATTAACAAGACAACGTCGAGTTTTTGGATGTTTCATCAATATAGGCGAACCTAAACCATTCCGGACTTGATACAAATGATCAAACCAAGCGTCATGATAAATCTGCTCATAATGAACAAAAACTGTTGATAGGGCATTGTACATTTGAATACATTTTTGTGCTTTTCTATGCCGCATGATCTGCAATATAAAATTTTATTATTTTTACTAAAATGTACTCAATTAAAATATTTACGCGTCGTTTTTCTGAAATACTCTCATAGGTACTTCTATACGTTTGTATAATTGTCGAATCCACATGATTCGACCCGAAACAGGCGGAATATTCTTCGGTAAAGGTGGTTTTGTCGATCTTCATTGTATCTATCACGAATTTCTTCGATTTCAGACTGATAAACAACAAATGCTTCCAAATATCGCTCATCTAAATGTATACATTCCAGATTCAACTTTTCAAATCGTGCTAATAAGCGTAAAATATTATCAACATCCGAATAATTTTCTAAACTTGTTCCTACAAATTCTTCTAAATCGTATTCAGTGTCAGCAACATTTTGTTTAAACTCATCATAGTCTTTATCAAACGCTTCCAAACGATGATTTAGTACATCATAAGTCTTTGACGAAATGGTAAGATAAAAGTTTTTGAATAAATTTGCATATACATCGATACCTTCAATTGTACTGGATGCTAGTATTGAATATTTTGTTGTAATTTCAATAACGTCTATAATTTCCTCAATGCGTTTCTTAAAAGTTTCAAATTTGCCGAAAACGTACATTTCGGAGCATTCAAACGGTGACTCGCCTTCCAATTCCATTTTTAACAACACGTGTTTAAAGCATTGATAGTATTTTAAGTATAAGTCTAAGCAGACTTTAAATTTCGCCATTATTTCATGGCGTGGTTGACGCCATATTATTTTTGTCCCGTCACAATTCAAATAACTGCGACATACTTGAATCATTTGATTGGAAACTTTCACTAAAATAGCTGTTACGTTTGCTGTGTTGTTATAATATCTAGAAGTTGTGTAAACCATTCGGATTGCATACAGGAGTGCAGGAAGGTGATCGGGGATTTTTGAAGGATCACAGCGATATAATGGCTGCCAATATTGTTCCAAGGCGTAGAGGTATTTAACATTATCTTGGCATTCATTTCGGGCATCTGTCACTGCATTATCATGTTTGTACCATTTCTGTATGCATAATTTATATTTATAGTATTAAATGTTTTAAAATATTAAGTTATCACCTTTAAAAACTTAGATTTTGCTTGTTGAAGTAATTGTACATGTCTCATGCAAGGTTCTGACTTCAAAAATTCAACAATGCTCGTAAACTTTGCAAGCTGTCGACGCCAGTATTCAATTTCAACCACAGGACCTACAAATTCATTCTCTCTGCGTAGTTGTTGGAATTGTGTGAGTACTCGTTCCATTACTTTGGCCCAGGAGCGGACTACAGTTTCGACATAACGCACATGTTCGATTTTACTCGCTGTGGACCTTACTAACAATGGCGATGAAAGTTGGTTAGTGTAAAATTCTTGATTGTATACGAATTTTACAATGCCGTCAAGATCAATTCTGGTTGCTATAAGATGTAAAGTTTTAAGGATAATATATTAAACTAGATAGTAAATGTATTACTGTCTATAAAATTGTAAAATTGTCGAAAATCGCCGATGAAATCGCGTTTTATTAAGAGTCCATGTTCGCTTTTTAACAGGTCACCCCAGTCGTTGTTTAAATTAATACTGGGTGCAATCAATGTCTTTAAAAGGTTAAAAATCACTGATACTACGTTCCCATTGAAATCTTGAATATTGAGTTTTGCATAGAAACAATCCTAAAAATATTATGAAATCGGTTATGTAAGAGCTTAAGGTAGGCAACTTTAATGACAAATACAGTACCTCGCCTAAATTTCTCATTTCGAGATCTTTATCTTCGACTTTATAAACAACCACAGCTTGTTCTTTGAACGCTGTATGTAATCCATCGCTAACGAAGACTCTCTTCTCAATTTTTTCTTTCAGGCCGGTGACAAACGCTGAATATCTTCCGGTTTCTTCAAGAAATATTTACATAATAATCAAATAAATAAAATATACTAGGTAAAATTTACCAAGTGGTGGTGCCTCATCATCTTGATAAAAGAAGATAATCGCATGCTTGTCTCCTTTGCTCATGAATGCATTAAGCAAGTTAACGTGCGCCTCAAGATCAATAACGCCCTCCACTACTTCGTTTTGATCAATGCCCAGAAACAAAGCCACCATTTCGATGATGTGACGATGTGGTAGTTGCAGCGTCGAGAGGCGTGCAAGTCGATTTTCTTTGTATTTGTTCTATAGTAATATGAGTTTAGTTTTTTTTTTAAATGTGTAATGAATTTACATACTAGTCGTTCTTTTATGTTTTCCATTTGGCTGACGGTTGATAAATTATGCCCGCGATATTTATTGCTTCGAAAGTTTGCAACTGCTTGATGGGCATCATCTTTAAGGCGTTCACTATCATCATCTAAATTCTCTTCTTCTTCATCCTCTTCTTCTTCTGCATCGATGTCCAGTGATGGCAGAGGGCTTTCCTCGTCCACTTCTTCAGCCATTGTATATTTTTATAGTTTATTATCAGTTAAAATCGGTAATAAAATATGTACGGATTTAAATTATTACAAATTGTGAAATAGTGTTATTTTACAATTTTAACATTTAATACTGTACACGTGCAAGTTATACAAATGTCATGTGTAAATATAACTGATTTATATTGTTTCAAATTGTTCGATTGCTACTAGAAACCACAGACAAGTTGATTTCAGTTTAAATTTCCCGCGTTTGGTTTAAACTTTGATTTGACATCAGAAGATCTGGCAACTGTGACCTTGGAGGTTGGAGAATCTGTGACGTTTATGCGACGACTGGCGACGACAACAAATCGACGTCAACAAAATTTCCGACCAGAGTTGAAATGCGAAAATGATATAAACATCCGAAATAGATAGTTTTAAATATTTAATAACATATAATAATCACAAATCATGTCCACCGGTCAACCAGAAAAGGTGTCCATTAGATTTAGAGGCTCAAAAGTTAGTAAATTAAAAGAATTAGATCTGTTTCCAAAGGTTGAAGATACCTACAAAGAAACTTCAAAAGTAGGAGGCACATGTAAGAATTATAACTTAAATTTAACGTATAAATAACTAAAATGTATAATATTTCTAGTATCTCTAGTCAGTTTCTCAATAATAGCATGGTTAATATATTCTGAAATTAAGTATTACATGGACAGCAAGTTTGTGTTCCGATTCGCTCCGGATGCAGACATAGATGAAAAGTTGCAAATAAATGTTGATATAACTGTTGCAATGCCTTGCCAAAGTAAGTGGTCTTTAAAGAACATTAGATATTTAAGTTGCATGTAATTTAAGATGTGATAAACTAAGAAAATACCATTTTTTAGATTTGGGTGCAGATATATTGGATTCAACAAATCAGAATCCATACATGTTTGGTCAATTAGAAGAAGAAGACACTTGGTATGAATTATCACCGAATCAAAGGATACACTTTGAGAACAAGCAACATTTTAATTCATATTTGAGGGAAGAATATCATGCAATAAAAGTAATTTTGTTTTTATGTGAATTAAAACTTTTGTAAAAATTGTAATATTTAACTTAAATTTAGGATTTATTATGGAGGAGAAGTTTTAGTCAAACTTCAAATGACATGCCGGCGAGAAGTCACATTCCAAATCGCCCTCATGATGCTTGCAGAGTTCATGGTTCCTTAACACTGAATAAAGTCGCTGGAAACTTTCATATTACTGCTGGAAAAAGTTTAAACTTACCAAGGGGTCACATTCATCTGAGTCCTTTTATGTCGGAAGAGGATTACAACTTCACGCATCGAATTGATAGGCTGTCATTTGGACATCCTAGTCCTGGAATAATTCATCCTCTTGAGGGTGATGAATATATTGCTTCAAGTCGTAAGTTGTTTTATTTATTGCGGTTTAAAATGAGTTTTAAAAATGTTATTTTTAGATCAAATGTTATACCAGTATTTTATTGAAGTTGTTCCCACAAGCGTTCGAACATTCCTGCGCAGTATCGAAACTTATCAATACAGTGTAAAGGAACTAAATAGACCACTGGATCATGGCCATGGTAGTCATGGAATGCCAGGTATTTTTTTCAAATATGATGTGGCTGCTTTGCGTGTGACTATTAATCAAGAGCGAGATCATCTGGGAATGTTTATTGCGAAGTTGTGTTGTATTGTTGGAGGCATCTATGTATGCTCAGGTTAGTGATGTTTTTTCTTTAAATATTATTTCTAATGTTTAAATGATTTCTGTAATATTGTGTTTTAATTATAGGTTGCATTAGTAGAATCATTCTTATGATAGTGAATATCATATGCTGCAGATGGGAAAAGCCGACTCCACAAAAATCGGCACCTATGACTGTGACACCAAATTTAGTGCTCAATGAAAAGAACTTCACCATACCCGATGTTTTGCCTGTGCAGTTGTCGTGATGTTTTACAAATTGATTTGCATATAGTAGTTGAATTTTTATTGATTGTTTGATTACCCAAGTGTGTGTAATTAAAATTATTTCGAATTCCAGGAAATTGAGTCACGTGTTTTGTGGTTTTATCTGAATTTATAACATGGGTGGCGTTATATTGATTACGCAGAATTTACGTCCGCCGATAATTTATGAATTATCTCTAATAATATATACCTGAAATTACTATAAAAAAATACAAATCAAGCATAAAATTCCGGTTTCTATAATTTCTCTCAAAAAAAAGAAACAACGAATGATTTAAGGAAATCTATGTTCATAAAAAGTCCACTTCCTGTAATGCTTTCAGTCCCAGTCCAACTCGTTAAGTTTAAGTTGACATTCGCGCGCGTAACACCATTCAAAAGTTATGGTTGAAATTAGTCAGGAAGCGGGAACACCTTACAATAACTACCAAATTTAGTGAGTTACACAATCTCGATATCCTATTATCTATTATTATCTATTAGTTATATTAGATAGTAGTATTAAATAATGTTTTAATACGGATTTATTGTTCAAAAGGCACGTGCTAACCTCCAAAATCATTCCATAACAAACAACTTTTCATTTGTTTCATCAAACTATTGCAGAATTTCAATCAACATGGGGTGGACATTAAACCAACTTACCTCTGCGAAAACTTCCTACAAACTTGTAGACTTTCCATTTAAAATTGGCCGAAATTTAAGTGCAGATATTATTTGTCCAGTTACTAATATCTCTAAGAATCATGCTCACATCACCACTTCAAATGGGCAACTCTATATCACAGATACTGTAAGTACTAATTAATTATTACCCAAATATATAATCAATTTAATGAATGGGTGTATATTTTTAGAGTACTAATGGTGTTTTTGTTAATCATGTTCGTATTCCATTTAATGAGCCCACTCATATTAAAGCCAATGATATAATATCGCTATGTTATCCCAAAGACAATAATGAAACAGGAAAAGAACATTTTCTTTATGAACTTATATCAGACCAGAATGATATCCAGACAGAATTGAACATTAAAGTTGAAGCAAGGCATTCAGAAACAAATGAAAACATGGGAGTTATTAAAAGTGAAGTAAGACCTGAAAATAATCAAAATGTTGAGAGTTTTGATGTAGAAGCAAATAATTCAGTTAGTAATGAAATAAATGAAACTATTAAAATGGAAGTAAATAGATCAAATATTGATGAAAGCTGTGAGATAATAGAAATTGATGCATCATCATCATCAGAACAGAATTACAATCAGTGTGATAATAAACTAAGTATTGGAGATGCAATAACAATTAAAACAGATAGTGATGTACAGATTATATCACAGGATATTGCTGATGATATCATTGTGATAGATGATGAGGAAGAGAATATGATCCTCTCACAACTCTTCATTAAACATGAAGTTAAACAGGAAGTTGACGAAGAATTTTTGAAGATTAAAGAAGAAATCGCCGAAATGGATCGATGCGATAACGAATACAATGCATTAACTTATGAGATTGAAGACAGTGATGATGATGATGATGATACAAGTGATGAATTGTTGATGCGGTTACAGAATTATTCTCCTGATGTGAGATATTTGGACCCAGATAAATCTCCCGAATTATTATTTGTGAAATCTCCTGAATACGATGTACAATCATTAGTTACTGATGTAGTTGCTGAAAAATCTCCCGAGCTGGTGGTGGAACCACCATCAGTATCAGTAACAAAAGATTTGAAAGAGATTTCAGAACATATCGCTGCTAAACAAACGAAGAACCAACTGGAAATTATCCCGGCTCTTCCGCTTGAGGCAAAAAGCCGAAAAAGAAAGAGTGATTTAGTTAAGAAACCTGCAAAGAGTAAAAAATCAAAATCTGAAACAACAAATGCAGCTACTTGTAAAAATACAAGCAAAATCAACGAGAAAAAGACTCAAACGAGCAAACATCGCGAGTTATTTGAAGGTGAATCATCGGATAATAAAAAACGAAAAAGGCTAGTGTTAAAGTAAAAGTATCGGATAATCGTGGTTTGTTTCTCACCACTGAACCGCAGCCTGCTAAAAAGAAGAAGAAACCTGTGCCTGTTGCTGCTGTGTTACCAAGTATACCAAAGAAAGCTGCGGCAGCTGTATCCAAAGAAGTTCCTCTACGGCTTCAAGCATCAACTTCGCAACCTGTAAAAGCAGTAGCCACTGTTTTACCATCACCAAAACCAAAAACGCCACTACCACAAGTGAATACTCTGAATCCGCGAATTTCTAATACAAGCCAAGCGAATCTCACACGCGATCCACGCATTGCTAAACGTCCGCCAAGTAACACAAAGTTAGAAGCAAGAACATATCCCCAGAATACTATGCAACTTATTATGAGCCATAAAGCATTTGTTTTGCGTTTGTTCGAATGGAAAAATTCATTTTTTGAGAATGTGGACATTTCGGCAATATGGATGAACATTGAAGGCTCACCTTTGATAAAAATGCCCACCACTTACAGCGATTACAGATACTATCAACGTGCGATGAACGCTGTGGTAATGAGCGAGTTATTTTCGGATGTTTCCAATGAATACAACTCGACGCCATTTGCTGTCGTTGGGGATCGGGTTAATCGTGGATCACTTGGGTTGCGAGTTAAAGTCTTGAAAATCGATCGACATGAGGACTATACTGAAATCCATTGTTTTTGTAAGTTTATTTAGCGAAACCATTAATATTTAGTCTTGTGATAACTGTTTTCAGACTATATTGGTGAAAAACAATTGAGCGACAAGTTATGCGATTGCTACCTGCTGAATTTCATTCCTTGGCATGGTCAGAACAAAACTATGGCAAACAGTGAAAACTGTTTATTCGGTGTCGTGGGTTGGACGCGAACTGAAAAACTGGGCCAGACTGAACATATCGATCGTGAGTATAACATATTTAACCTAACCTAAATACAAATCTAGTTATTTGGTAAAATATTTATCAACAGCTATATTAAAACAACAATGCAAATCATCTCCATGGCATAAACACATGTTCTCTATTTTAACGCGTCGAACCACCAACATCCAAGCGCAAAACTATTTATTTCTTCGGAATTTCGGATCAATTCGTCGCTTTCTAAAGAAACTCAGCGCTATTCAAAAAGTAGAGGGCGTTATTGCACAACAGATTCTCTCACCGGACCCGAGCCAATATTTAATACCAGACTTTCCCATGCCTAATAAACTGCATCATTTTCTGCGAATGAATCAGAAGCAGGAGGAAGTTGTGAAGCACGCAATGAGATTCTGTACATTGTCGAGCAACTCGAGGTTTTTCATGGTTCAAGGCCCGCCAGGCACTGGAAAATCAGATCTTGTTGTCAATATAACATTAAATTTCCTAAAGAATTTGGATAAAGGTATTGCAATATTATTGCTTGCGCAATCCAACGCCGCTGTTGAGAATCTCGTTCGGCGTATTGTGATGTTGCGCAAAGATTTCCCGAAGCCATTAAAGGATCGTGTGCGGATTATTCGCATGGGGCGTAACTCGCAATCTGCCGCTGATTTGGCGGATTACCACGTTGACAATCACGTTGCGCGTCATTTGCGTAGTATGTTGTTTCAGCAAGCGCCTCATTTGATGCACAGTTATCGCGTTCTGGAAGAGGAAGTTTTCGCGTTACGTGCTATGAAGATTAAAAGTGAGTGTTTATTTGTATGCAACCAACGTTGCACTTATACTAACTTTATTTGTGTTTAGCTGGGGTTCAAATCCAGACTTTAGAGAAGAAAGAAAGGGAGTATGCTAATTTTGTCAGGAATCATTACCTTCAACAGTATCATAGAGAAGAGGCACAGGTTCGCAATTTGGTATTTGAGAAGGCGACATTGATTTGCAGTACGATTGGCAGTTCCTACGCGTTTCCGAGCCGCAAACTGTAAGAAAACATTACTTTACAATGCTATTCAATGCATTAAAATTTTATTTGTATGTTTTCTTGTTTGCAGACAGCTTAAATTTAAATGCTGTATCATTGACGAAGCCACGCAGGCTACCGAACCGGATACACTGCTTCCCTTGACGCAGGATGTTAACAAATTTATCCTGGTTGGCGATACACGCCAATTACCTCCACATCAAACTCTTGTTCCGAAAGAATATCTTTTCTCGCGTTCGTTATTTGTCCGGTTACAGAAAGTACTACGCGATGCTCCATCTCACAATGCTTTACATTTGCTGGACACGCAGTATCGCATGCGCGAAGAGATTTGTTCTTTCCCAAATCGACAGTTTTACCGCGATAAACTTATTACACATCCGCAGCCGTGCCGCGAAGACATAAAAACTCTCGCGCCGTATTTAGTTTTTGAAGTGAACGAAGGCAATAAGACAAAAACTTATGTGAATTTAAAAGAAATCGAAGCAATTCTGATGATTTTATTAACCATAAGTAGGCTTAAACTAGAAAGTCAACTTACCATCGGTATTATAACACCATACAATGAGCAGCGCATCGAATTACAGAAGCAAGTGGAAACTTTAAAGTAAGTTTTATGATTTTATGTGTTTTCAACGATTTTATATGATTTTTATTAGTTTGAACAGGCGTATGAAAGTGTTGGTCAACACTATTGACGGTTTTCAAGGACAAGAACAGGATATTATTCTGTTGTCGTTGGTTTTAAGGATGGCGAACAGCTTCGTCAACGATGCGCAGCGTTTAAACGTGGCGCTGACGCGCGCGCGCAGTTGTCTCTACGTGTTCGGATCGCCGATTCTATTCGAAAGCGGCTCTCTCATACGCAGCTTGAAAAAGGACGCCATTGATAGAGAAATGTATGTGCGTTTACCGCAATACTTCGATCCCAATTCGTTTCAATATTGTCTCTTTCGATAAACACTGGGATAGTTAATACTTGTGCACTGTATCAGTGAGCAACCTCTGGCCAGTGATTGATATCTTTACTTGTTTCGTTATTTTTGATATTTATGTGCAGATTTGAAGTCTGTGGCGTTGAAATTCATTTTTATATTTATGACTTGAGACTGTATCTTAGCCTAGTGAACAAACCACGTGATTAAATTGTTCTAGGCGTATAGTTTCTTTGTTTTTCTATAATTGAAATAAATTCTACTTTTGTCATAATCATAGGCAACACATTGTACATCCACACAAATGTGAGGTAACTGGCTGGTGCGACTGTAGATGGCGGCGTGTATAGCAGGACGAGCCGACCGCCCTCCGATAACAAGCGCGAGGCGTATCGGCGACGGCAGCAGCAAACCGGCAGTCCCAGTCCGCAGGGCAACGGCGCGTGCGAATCATCGCCAAGCGCACGCACACCTTGCACTCACGCGATGCGCGCCGCACTATTGTTCGATTAACAAACAGACAAAAAACCACGGTGCATATTGAAACTAATAATAATTTCGCGTGTGTAACTTTGGGGTGCACCAGCGCTCGGCCGGATTTAAAGCGCCGCCACCAGAGGTGCAGCGGCCACGCGACGCCACCCCCATCGGGGAGGACAGGGCGCCCAGCTACGCCTACATAATAAATAGGTAATATTTGCACCAACCACGCGAATGCTTCATACTTCATGTTTCACCTTTGTTTGCGCGCCCTCGCTGCAATTGTTTGCTAATTATAATTATGTATTTATTTGTATAATATTCGGCGATTGTTTTGAGCGCACAATATGTTTCGTTTATGTCACGCATAGGAAAACCGCGTACGGGTATGTTTGAAAACAGTTGGCTTTTCATTGCCATTCGAATGGTAATAATGGTATTGTTGAAACATTAACGCGTGTTTTCGGCTGAGAAAAAGTGCGAGCGCGGAGAGAGGTGCGCATTATGATAGATAGTATGGTGCGATGCGCAAGTGTTTAATAAATATTTACTTTCGATTGGTTATTGAACTGTCAGCTGACTGGCAAAGGTGCAGCTGTTACAATTATCACAAGAGCCAAATAATATTATTGTTTTATTTTGGTTCGGTTAAATTCACATCAATAATTTCAAAAGCATGTTTACAGTATTATTTGCTTTGTTCAGCGTAAAATATACCAAAAAAGTTTGAATATTTCGAATTAAATTCGGTAATTAATTAAACATGAATGTTTACAATTTAATAAAACCAAAAAAAAGCCTAAAATAATTACTAATTTACTTTTATTTTACTTCTAAAATATTAATTTCTTGTATATTTTACTATGAATTGAAGTTTAGGGGCTGCATACGTGGTTGCTGACCTAGCAAATAATTAAAAATCACTTTTTTTTATGAATTATTAGTAATATGTCTCGGTTTTGTGCTTGAATATTTGCCTAATGAAGAAAGACGGTGACCAAAATTATGGCATAAGTATATAAATAATTTTCAAACTGAATTTTATGCAAATATGACTCTTAGCGCCATCTAAGTTCAATTTTTATAACAATAACTACGATATATTCTCCATACAAACTTTCATCGCTTATTTAAGTCACTTCTAGTTATATTTTTGGTTCCAAACTTCCCAATATCACCCATCAAGCTATTCTGAAGATTATCTGAAAATTTGATTCAAATCGGTCCATTCGTTTTAGTGTTAATACGTTACACACATACAAAATATCTTTTTATACGTATAAAATATTCCAAATATCAAAAATACCGAACATAATCCTCAGAAAACGCCAAAAATATAAAGAATTACCACCACATTAATTATTATAACCGTTTGAATACATACAAAAATGTTCTTTTAATAACATTGACAAGATAATTATTCGTTTATTCAATTGTACGCTTACTTTGTGTGGTTAGACCACTAGTATTTTTCTTTTCGGGCATGCTAAAGAACAACTCGCAGCCATATTGTAAACACGTACCATATTCCTGAGTGCGTTACGTTCCGACTGCGAAATATCGATTTAAACGAATTTATTACGCGAAGGAAAGAAAAAGGCGGCAGGTTTTTCTAATCGCCCTCACGCACGATGCCGCACGAGACACGCGGTCCGCTCGTAAATTTCAATTATTTTAATAATGCCGCATGCACTCGCCATCATCATCCAGCAACACGCCTCAAACAACTCTCTCATAACACTGCACCACGTGCGTACACCTAAAACACTCGCATTTTAATTAAAACTTTAAAAAACGAATCGAAAATAATAAAATCGAGCTTTTAATCGGAATGTTTACATTTTCAATTTAAGTTTTGATATTTATAGAGGTAATCTATGTATGTATTCGCAATGTTTTCCTGCTGCGCGAATAGTTTTAGTATTCGAACAACGCGAGAAGGCCACTTAAACGGATTGTCTCGCGCGCGCGCCGCGGCCGTAATAAAATAATCCGAATGAAAATGAAAAGTAGGTGCTAAAAATACAGCGCCAGCCCAACAAAAGCGTCGATACATTTTCGCGAATGGCGAATAGCTCACGGCGCGCCGAATTGATGATGGAATTGATGATGATTATTAATAGAATTTTTAAAGTGCGCGCACCGGCCCAGCAACGAACGGGCTTTCCTGCTGGTGACGCGTACAATGCCACACAATACTCATGACGTCATTGTTATCTATTGCACTGCGTTCTACAATCGTATTAAACAGATGGTAATTGTATAAATTCCAGAGTGGAGATATTTATAGATTGAGTTTTTGAAAATTTGGTGGAGGCGCCAGTGATTTACACGTAGAAACATTTTTTAATTGTGAAGTTTAGTTTTTTAAGTAAATGATTTTAAAAAATTGGATTTTGAGATTTTTTTTTAATTTTGGTCAATTTTTAACGGAAATTTATGAAAATAAACTTAGTTTAATGATAAAATCAACGTAAAAACAAAATTCCAAACATTTTAGACAAAAATTACGCAATGATAAAGTAAAATTTAATTAAATTGAAACCGGTGCCATTTTGAATTTGCGTATTTGCGGATTTACGCGTGTAATTCGAAAAACACTTAATTTTCCGCGCGCCCACCCACGCACTTAGAAGGCTGCTACGCTTGTCGTATTGTGACACGAGCGTACCGCGACTTACGATGTGTCAAGCGCAATAAAGAGTGCGCGCTTTAATGTCGCTGCTAATTACCAGGCGCGGCGCATAAACGCGACAATAATGCGTGAACCGAACGCAGCGCGCAGTAAAAGCCGCGTCGATTTCACGCCGAATAAAATTCGCACATGGTGAAATGCCACGCTGGCTCATGTTTTGAGTAGCAGTAAATAGGATACTATTGTTTATTAAGTGTTTAAAATGCTACTTCTTATATAAAAAACTAAAATTGAGGTTATGGTATTAAATTTAACTATAGAAATGAGTGTTATTTGTAATAACTACTTTTCAAAATTTATTTGAGTTTAAAAATTGAGGTTATGGCAAGGTAAAGGTTAAAATTGAGGTTAGGTTTATGTAATTATATTAGAAACGTCGGAGATGACCTCTGGTGGACGCCAATTTAAATATAACCTCAAAATATTTTATTTTTTTGTTTAAAATGAAAGTTTCATTAATATTTTATGATTTGAAATAATCCTGTGAAGCAGTTCCAAACGCAAACATGTTTTTCTTTCCATCCAAAAATTTTTATTTTTGTATTTCGTATTTTTTCTCATCGAAAATAATCATGTTAGCAGCTGTTGCAATAATTTTGCGCAAGTAAATTTAATTTCAGCGAAAATCAAACGCTTTGCGCGAAATTTCAGATTCTCCAAGGATATTACGCTCAATTACAGTAATTTATAGCACGTAAAACATCGATTCGCGACGCTACTAAAGTACGAAAACACTCCAACAAATTCTCATTATCTCACATCGAATTTGCTCAAAACTTCACGTCTTTGCCACCGTCCATCACGCCGGCTAATAAGAAAACACGCAAGTTTGTCAGCGTGAAAATCAAGTTAACGCGTTTTCAAAAACTAACAAACTTTGGCGCATTATACCAACTACCTCTACCTCCAAGTCAAAAGTATGCAGAAACGTGTTATCCGTGAATAGTTGAATAGTTTTACGTGCGCGCAAATCCAATTAATGCGCGCGAAGAGCGCAAATTAGCGCATTTTGCACACTTGCAGCAATCGCAGCGGTAGAATCTAATTTGTCCCATCGTTATAATTAAGCCATTATGCGATAGTTGAAATTCCGGGCGGATCATAGATAAATTCGGGGATTTTATAAGACTCACTGGCGCAACGTGTGTCGCACAGCAATAAAACGCCAACGAGACCTGCAAACAAGCGAACAATGTGCGAGCACAATGCCAAGACGTGTATCATTTGCCAAAAATCCGGACTTGGTGCGCTGTTTGCGCTCGTTTTCTTCGTTTTCCGCAAGCAAATCAACGAATCGATCACGTTCATGTATCAATAACATGGCGGCGTGTCTAGTTGGTTGCCTAGGTGATCAGGCAAACAAAATGTACGTATGTACAATGTGGAAATTGTAGCCTACAATTAGAAAACGTTGCTAATTAGAGTCGAACAGTGAGCAGTGAAGGTGGTATCCAATCGTTTATTTACCCGTGAACGTGACACAGTTTCGTCACACGCCGCCAACCGGCCCCCATCTATTAGCGTTCCGCGACCCGCTGCGAGCGCTATAAATTCGGGCGTCGCGAGACAAAGAGAAGAAATTATTTTTGGCAAGCGCTTCCGTGTAACCTTGGCTCCATGCCGCATGTTTTTTCCCCGGGTACCGAATTGATGCACTCGTTTATTATGCGAGATGTGAATCTATTCAAAAATATTCCATCACATTAACTACAAATGATAAAATACAATACTACAACACATACTAAAGCAATGATATAATTGATACATACTTTTGTAGGTTATGTTTAACTTTAAGCTCTGCGTTGTGTTTTTTTTTTTCAACGGGTGGCGAGGTTTTTGTTTGTGCGCGGGTTGTTTCGGAGCGGAAGGAAAGTATTTTTCAAGGAAACGTTCTCGCGACGCACTCGTGTGCGCGGTGTTTTGCGCGTCGCTTTTGTTTCTTTTGTCGAGTCTTCGGCCCCGCTTCCCAGCGCCCAACGTCCGAGAGCGGAAATTTATGAAGTGCGCTTCGGAGATGTTGCGCCGTTTTGCTTTTTGCGCAGCGGTCGACGAAGAACGGACGTCCCATTGCGTCCTGCCCAAATATTTAAGACTTTAAC